TTGGCTGCGTTGGGTCTTCATTGCTGCGCGCGGGCTTTCTCTAGTTGCAGTGGGCGGGGACTACTCTTCATTGCGGTGCGTGGGCTTCTCATTGAGGTGGCTTCTCTCATTGCAGAGCATGGGCTCTAGGTGCATGGGCTTCAGTAGTTGTGGCACGTGGGCTCAGTAGCTGTGCCTCATGGGCCCTAGAGCACAGGCTCGGTGGTTGTGGCGCACGGGCTTAGTTGCCCTGCGGCACGTGGGATCTTCCCAGACCAGGGCTCTAACCCGTGTCCCCTGAATTGGCAGGTGGATTCTTAACCACTGCGCCACCAGGGAAGCCCTCAATGCTTTTTAAAAACCTTTTTATTATGAAAATTTTCAAATCTTTTACAAAAGTGGAGAGAATTTTATAATGAGTCCAATTTATTCATCGAGTATCATAGATGGTCAGCTGTCAATATTGGCTGATTCAGTGTCATGTAAACCCCACCCTGCTCTGCACATCACACAGAAACAAATCGCTGACGTGTCATCCTTTCATAGGTGTTGGCATGTAGCTCTAAAACGTGTGAACTTTAAAAATCAGCTTTTTATGTTTTTTACTTAATTTTTTGTTTGAATTGAGAGACTTTAATTCATATAAAGAAGCATTAACAACAGCAGGAGAGCTCGGAAGGGTATTCAGGGCTGCGGGGGTGCCGAGACGGCTCGCCCGTACGTAGGGGTTCAGGCTCTGGGCTGGCGGAGATGTTTCGCTGGGCTTCCCAGCCTCCGTAAGAGGTGGGCAGGAACAAGAAGACACGGGGGACGCACGGGAACCAGAAGTCCTTCACTCTGCGCTCGCTACAGAGGAGAAATGCTCGAAGGGTCCAGCCCATCCGTGCAGAGCAAGCCCGGCGGGAACCAATACACCGCTTCCCAGTGGGGCGCCACCACCTCCCACTCCTGGCCTTTGTGCTGCGGTTGCCAAACCTTGACATCTGCACAGGTCATAAACCCCACAGCGCATTGTTGTCATTGTTGTTGAAGCAATCAATTATTTTTTAGAGATACTTAGATAGTAAGAAGGAGCCTTGCATTCTTACCCGTGCAGTTACCACTTCCTGTGCTTTCTGTTCCATTTTGTGGATCCACATTACCATCTGGTATCATTTTCCTTTGGCCTGAAGACACTCTTT